CTTCATTTCATTCCATGCCTCTGATTGCTCATCCTCGAACCAGGCTACATAAATCTCTTCTCTTTCTTCTGCCCCTTTGTCAACCATTAGCCTGCTCCCCCTCTGTCATTGTTTCACCAGACTATAGATGTAACTCTTCTAATCTTCCCTGATAAATCAGGCTCTCAGAATCGCTCCTTGTTGCTCCCTCAAACTCCCTAGAGCTGGGATATAGGGCTCTGAGGGCCTGGTGCAGACGTTTCTTTTATAATGGGCCCTGAAAGGTTGTCAGCTGCAGATAATTAGGATCTCACTTCCCGCCATCGAGCTGCATATATCTTCCATGCAAAGAACCCCCATCACCTTCAAAAGAATTAACACATGCAGAGGAGATATACGAGGGGCTGGCTGACCGGAGGATGGGGCCAGCTCTTCTGAAGGCCAAAACTCTTCACGTTTCGTGTGAGAGAGAGGCATTCTCTCAGGAGAGGAAGCTCGCCCTCCTCACATTTCTTCATGGTAAAAGCCTCACGCTGTGTGTCTGGACTGTGCATCATGGAGTAGTGAGAAGAATATCTTTTTAGCTAAATTATTTAATAATAGTGCTGTCCCTTTATGCTCCACCCTATTCTCTCAGTCTCCCTGTTGAGACAAAGTTTAGTCTTGCACTGAGAGCTCAAGTATATTTTGTTTGCTGTCTTTATTTTCTAACTCTGTTAATAATTGGCTCACATCACTTGTAAACCCATGATTCAGGTTTTCTTTTTCTTTTGTTTTTGAGACAGGGTCTCACTCTGTCACCCAGGCTGTAGTGCAGTGGTGTGATCTCGGCTCAATGCAACCTCTGCCTCCCAGGCTCAAGCGATTCTCCTGCCTCAGTCCCCCAAGAAGCTGGGATTACAGGCGTGTGCCACTACCGCCTGGCTAATTTTTGTATTTTTAGTAGAGACAGAGTTTCACCATGTTGGCCAGGCTGGTCTTGAACTCCTGACCTTGAATGATCCACCTGCCTTGGCCTCCCAAAGTACTGGTTTTACAGGTGTTGAGCCACCATGCCTGGCCCATGATTCAGTTTTTCTTTAATGGTTTCTCAGAACTAACCAGTATATAGCTTCAGGAAAACTGGGTGGGCTGTCAAATGGATATGACATCAGGATGCAATGTTGCCCCCAAAGTTAGCCTGGCACAGGGAAATTCTTCTCAGGCAAGTGATCCATGAGACCTCAGGGTTCAGCATGGTTGGGGTTGGAGATGATACCCGGAGGGAGGGAGAAAAGTGGTGGCATGGGTGGGAGAGTCTCCCTTCACAAGGAGAAGAGCAGTTTTATTTTTACTCATATTATATATTAAGATTCCATCTAAGATTTTATATTTTTTAAAAGGAGAAAACAAGCTTGAAAACTGCTAGTGCCATCACCTTGTATCTGAGGAGAGAGGCCCAGAGATATGAAGGACACATGGCTTGCTAGTGCTAAGCCAAATTCAGAATCCACAGTCTCTAGTACCTTGGTTTTTCATTGTTCTTCACCAGCCAGCTGCAACATAATCTTCATAATAGTGTTCTTCAGTATTGCCTTGGAATCATTAGGAAACAGACAGGCCTATATATTCCCAGGGACTAGTGTTGATGATAAAGTGCTCTTTGTGGTCGGAGATGTTCCTCCTGACCTGTGCACTTGGAGTGATTTTTCTGGTGGTGGAGGCAGATGGGCACTGAGTCACCACCACGATCGCCATCCTTTAGGAGGTGATTGGTGAGTCTCGGGGGTGTGATCTTTGACCACGAACCTCAGCAAAGGGAACTGACACCTTAAGGGAGAAAGCGCAATGTGGCTTGGATCTCATCAGGGTCACTGTGGGGGCTAACCATAGAATTCCAGACCTAGATTGGGTCATAGCTGTCTCCCAGCCTGACCCCCCTTTTTTTTTAAAGCTGAAGACATCAAGGCCCACAAAGGTCAAGTGATTTTCCCACACAGAGGAGGAGTGAATTCAGAACTAGTGGGCAGCAGGCATTGTTTCTTGTTTCTCGGCTGGATAGAGCTTAATTAGTCTATTCTCCTACTGCCCTTTCCACCCAGACCAGTTTAAGACAGGGTTATGGATGAAGGTGTCTGCTCTGCAGACTAAAACTTCCTTGAGTCAACTGTTCCCAGGTCTAAATAGGAGAGAGAAAGGGACATACAGGAAGTTATCAAGGCTTCTTGGTTCTCATCCCAAAGTATGTCCTTCTGGGTCTTTTCAGCAATGAGGATGGTAGTTGAGCCTCCAAATATTAACTGGTTTTTCTTATTTCATTTGATTCAGTACTTGGGGGAGGAAGAAAAATATTATTTATTGGGTGCCCTCATATTCAAGTCTCAACATTCTACTTTCTGAAACTTATATTAACAGCATCTGTCTGCTGGCACCTCCAAGAATCTTCATCAATTTCCCTGTGGAGAATGGAGCCTGTTGGAGTTGTTCTTAATAAGAATCCTAGTGGTTGGCATCATTCCTTGAAATGGGTGGACACCAAAGTCATAGTGGGTTTTGACTGAGATTCCTTTTCTAAGATGGGTTTTTATAAACATTTTTAAAGAGTAAAACTTGAAACAAATGGAAGGCCTTGTTCCCACCACGACTTCAAATACCAACATATGTATCAAGGAATCTATTCTATTTGATAAGTCAGTTCAAAGTGACCAGGAAATAGCAACAAGGAGCCAGGCATGGAAACCAGCATTTGGTATTTAGTGAATATTACACACCATCTGTATGTGGGTTGCTCTCCAAAATCCTCAAGTTCAGAAACATCTCTCTTCCTTGTCTGTTTTTTGTTTTGTTTTGTTTTTGTCAGACAATTGTCTATTTTTAGAGATTCAGAGGGCTTTCTCTGATTAGGTCAAGGTATCACAGGAAAATAATAATAATAATAAAAACACTGAAAGGAATCCACCTATCAAGAAGCATCTTGGCTAAAGATAGGAGATACAAGGGAAGGAGGTCCTGGAGATCACGAGAAGAGTGAGCAATTAATCAGAAGGTCAAAGGTCTCTCTGTGAACACCATGGTGCTGTGCAAAGAGAGTCACTTATTATTGAGAATGGCAGTGATTTAAAATAAGCTTCCTCATATGGAAGGATGAGAATAATACCTACCTCATAGAGTATTATCTCAGGGTAACTGAGATAATTATGTTTAATGCTCATGAACTGGAAAACGCTGTGAAAATACAACACAGAATTAAGAGAGGTTGTTCAAAACCCTGAAAACCGCACAGCCTCCTGAAAGAGTGGAAACTAGATGCATGGCATGTTGTAAGGTATTCTGTTAACTGATTCACAAGAGGCTTCTTGGTGTGCCTTCCTCTTTATAACTTCACAGAAGGTACAAAGCACAACCAGTACAGCCCCCTACAAGAGCAGGCATCGGTTCTGACTGGCTCTGTTATCTTAAAACAAAAAAAACAAAAAACAACAAAAAAACAAAAAAAAAACAGCTTTCTGGCTGGGCATGGTAGCTCACGCCTTTAATCCCAGCACTTTGGGAGGCCGAGGCGGGCGGAACACCTGAGGTTGGACGTTTGAGACCAGCCTGACCAACATAGAGAAACCCCGTTTCTACTAAAAATACAAAATTAGCCAGATGTGGTGGCCCATGCCTGTAATCCCAGCTACTCAGCAGGCTGAGGCAGGAGAATTGCTTGAACTTGGGAAGTGGAGGTTGTGGTGAGCCGAGATCGGGCCATTGCACTTCAGCCTGGCCAACAAGAGTGAAACTCCATCTCAAAAAACAAACAAACAAACAAGCAAAACTTTCTAAGAGCAAATGATATATCTGCCACCCATTGCACAGTGCCTAACCTTCCACCACCCTCTGAGGAGCATCTCCTTAGGGCCCTTGAAGATGGGAAGGATTCTTCACAAGTGCAAATGAAGTGTTGAGGTTTCTGTCTAGCTAAACTAAATCTAGAGGAAAAGTGCTGAGTGGTAGAGGAAATGGGTGGTGAAGATTTCACTTGAATGGTTCTCACATCAGATCAGAGTGGTGTTGGAGGAGAATGTTAATTCTTTGCCTATAGACTAAAAACTATGTTGATTATTAGTGAATTAAAATATTCTTAACCTTTAACAGAGAAAGGGCACCTCCCAGAATGCCGATGTTTTTTCATTCCACCAACATTTATTGAGCATCTAGTTTGTGTTGATCTCTATGATGGGAGCTGGGAAGACACAGCTGTGAAGAAGGGCAAGCATCTCCGTGGCTCTATTTCCTAGCAGGATGACAAGAAGACAGGCATTGTCTCAAACCAGGGCATGACTCTCCCACAAACTCTAAAGGGAGCTGGTCAGTCGTTCTCCTTTTAATTAGCATAATCCATATGATTTGATTCTGACATCTGAGGTAGGTAAGATTTTTCATTTTTTGCCTGTCATGCCATTTGTTCTTTGTGCTTTTTTTAAAAAAAAATTTAAAAAATTGTTGCTGGGCATGATGACTCAGGCCTGTAATCCCAGCACTTTGGGAGGCCGAGGCAGGTGGAACACCTGAGGTCAGGAGTTCAAGACAAGCCTAGCCAACGTGGGGAAACCCTGTCTCTACTGAAAATACAAAAAGAAAAAATTAGCCGGGCATGGTGGCAGCTACTCAGGAGGCTGAGGCAGGAGAATTGCTTGAACCCGGGAGATGGAGGTTGCAGTGAGCTGAGATCATGCCACTGCACTCCAGCCTGGGTGACAGAGCAAGATCTCGTCTCAAAAAAAAAAAAAAATTGTTTACTTTCTAGTGTCATTTTAACTTATTACTAGTGAGCATCTGGCCTGGGTGTTTTCCATTAGCATGAAAATTCAGAAGGCTACAGAAGGAAATACCTATAACTGAGCAGCGAGAGAGCCACTTCATTCCGTGGCCAGGCAATATGTCTTGCATTTCTCTAGTGTAAATAAAATGATGATTCAAAGACTGGTCCCCATTAATGAGTATCTGATTTAGAATAAAACAAAATCCATGCTGGGAAGTTGATGAGCTTGATTTTGCTGAATTGCTTTGAGCATGCAGCTTATATTTATTGGTTCTTTCCTTTTGACAATTGTCACCAGTTGTCTGCTGTTCTTTCTGCTGAGTGGAAAGGGAGAGGGCTTGAAGATTGATTTTAGTTCCCTGTAACTGGAGGTGACATGTGAAAGCTCAAAGCTATTGAAAAGGTAGGTGATTATTAAAATGTAATGTGTTTCTGTTTTCCTGATTATGACCTCCCAGTTTTGCAATTTGCTGCCAAGCACGTGCCAAAGCTGGAGCACAGGTGGTGATGTGTCTTTCAGGCTTTGGGAGAGTTTTAGATCATATTAACTACCGACTTGTTCCTTTTTCCTAATCCTTTTCAACAGTAGACATGCTGAAAAATTAATATACAGGGAGAAAGAGATGCATGGTTATCTACAGTGCTTTTTATGAAGAGGGAGAAGAAAATGGGGACAGAGAAGGAGAAAAAAGAGAAAGGGAGGGAGAAAAACATGGATTGGAGGTCGGGGGGAGAGAGAGAAGATAGCACATAATTAATCAGAATTAACACTTAAAAACAATTGGTGTGGAAGGGCATTTTCCAGAAAAGCAGTAGAGCCCTTTCTGAGCACATGCTCCACTTGCATTAACCATGCATTAAAATTAGTGGCAATTCACTTCTGCACATTCTCTGTTGGTTCCTTGTTAGGCTCCAACTCACCACACCAATGTGCTTGATCAGATGAGAATGACTGGAGTAGAGGGCTCTGGAAATCCTGAATGCCTTGTCTTATAAAAAGCAGGAATCACAGTCAAGTGAGAAAACAGTTTTACTGGAGGTAAATGCTGGGTGCCCCACATGGGGAACTAGGACTCATGATCATTAGGGCACAGACATGATGCCTTCAAGAGAGCTGATGGAAAGGAGCAGTTACTTTTCCAACAAGACTGTTAGAATTAGGCAAGCTGGGTCAATTAAAAGAGCAGGTGCTCTGTAGCTAGTTAGCTGTGTGAAGGATTTTTTTTTTTTTTTGGCTTGTGGAAGCCTCTGTTTTCTCATCTATCAAGTGGGACTAATACCTATGTCTAAGGAATAAACAATGTCCCTAGGCACCCACAATCATTCCTAGCATACTGTGTGTATCTGTTATGGAAAACTGGGACTTCATCAATAGATAAAATAGCTCTTTATATTAGGATAGACTCCAAGAGGGAATATATTCTGTTACATGTAGGCTGTGTCCATAGGGACAAAATGAAAGAATTCATATTCCAAGCCTCCTGCCTTTATGACTGTTTTCTATTCTTCTTCTTATTCGTGTGATGACTAATTTATGTTCATAAATCTCAGACCCACCACCCCTTTTCTACAACCCCTGCAAAGCAATATTGAACTAAAAGCTACCAAATCTTTATCCCTTCTTCTGAACTGGGGAATGTATACAAAAACATAATCTCTTTACTTAAATGCACATAGAGACCATGGTGAAAATGACACCACACTTAATCTCTATTACTTCCTCCCATTTCAGGGGCAGAAGTTCTCCTCACACACAAAGGACACCGGTCCCTTAGGAGGCTCTTGTGCAGAACTGGGTGGGGAGTGTGGGGTCCTCGCAGTTTTCATGGGATCTGCCTGGACTGCTCAGCCCTCCCCTGCTACACACCGTGATCATGCAGCAGGCTGGGTTGGGAATCCCAGGAAAAGAGCATCACACAGAGCTCCAGAAGGGAACAGGCTTACAACAAAAGCCACCTTCTCCGTGAAATCAGATCCATCTCTGCCCCTGGGGGGCCCAGTGGCAGTTGAGCATGCTTATAGATGGTATAAATCACTTGCAGAACCTCAAGAAACAATTAACTCAGATTGAAAGTAGCTGCTAAGGTTTCACTGCCTTGTGTGCTTATGTCCTTTGTTTCAGCTTTTGGTCTTGAAACGGGGAGGATTAAAATTGTTTCAAGGGCCAAATTGCAAGGAAGGACCAGGACCAGTACAGTTAAGTCAGCCACACTTAGCTGTAACTGGCCCTTAGCTGTGGCATCTGTTTCACATTCTAAGCAATTTGAATACTCACAGGTTTGCCTTCTTAAAATAAATGTACACACCCACCCTACCCCACCCCTCCCCTCAAGAAACACCAGAAATTAATTGATCCTTCTGAGAAGTCAACCTGACAGTTTACAGTGGGTCAATAGACTTTGATATAGAGAAAATGACAATTCTGTAGTTAGATAGATAAATAGGTAAGTGAGTAGATGGGTGGATGGATGGATGGATTGATGGATAGATACCCTAAAAGTATCTTATAGAAAGAAACCAGGCTACCAGCAGAGAAGACTTTGAATGTCTGTTTAGACCCAACTTGTTTTTCAGAGATGGAGTCCTGCCATGTTATTCAGGGCAGTTTCAAACTCCTGGGCTCAAGTGATCATTCTGCCTCGGCCTCCCAAGTAGCTGGGACTACAGGCGTGAACTGCTCAGCTCGGCTCCTTCACTTTAGATTTGATAAGGCATCACTCCATCACTCAGCCATTGCCCAATGCAGGAAGAGCTCATGGAAATGCCGAGGGCTAGAGAATGCTTCCATTTGTAAAGAACTATGCTAAGAGCCGTTGCCTTCATTTTGGGAAGGGTACTTATGTGTTTTTCTAATTATAAAGCCAATATAAGTTTATGGAAAAAAATTTGGAAAATATGAGAAGTATTTTACGACATTAAAATTATCACTAGCTCTACTCCCTGATATTTTGATGCGTTTCTTTCCAGCTGCAAAGGATTCCACGCACAACTGCAGTAGGGAGGGCGCAGGAAGTGGGTCAACACTTTTGGAGAACTGGGTGAAGTTCAGGATCCTGAGGCCCTATTTTTTGGTCGCCCCAGTGAGATGTTTCAAGGCTGGACCTAAGAGAGACCTCTGTTCTGTGCATTTTTTCATCCAGAGGAGGATGCTTAGACCACGTTCTTCCCATAGTTTCAGTCCTCAAATTCTGTCAGTTTTTATAAGCAGCTGCAATTGTCTTTATTCCAAGGTCTTTATAAGCAGTTGCAATTGCCCCAGAGGTAGGGGAAAGCTAAATCAATATTTAATCTTTTTTTTCTTTGTTTTCCTCTCTTAGAATCCTGCAGACAGCCTCTATATTCTTTTTTTTTTTTTCTTTTTGAGATGGAGTATTGCTCTGTTGCCCAGGCTGGAGCACAGTGGCAGGATCTTGGCTCACTGCAACCTCCGCCTCCCGGGTTCAAGCAGTTCTCCAGCCTCAGCCTCCCAAATAGCTGGGATTACAGGTGTGTACCGCCGCACCCAGCTAATTTTTTATATTTTTTGTAGAGATGGGATTTCACCATGTTGGCCAGGCTGGTCTCGAACTCCTGACCTCAAGTGATCTGCCCACCTTGGCCTCCCAAAGTGCCAGGATTACATGTATGAGCCACTGTGCCTGGCTCTAATGTAATAGTTGTACATATTTTGTGGGGTACATGTGATATTTTGACAGCTGTATACAAGGTTTAATGACAAAATCAGTAACTGGTATACCCATCATTTCAAACATTTATCTTTGCTTTGAGAGAATTACGAATCTTCTCTTCTAGCTATTTTGAAATATAAATAAATTATTGTTGGCTCTAATTTACCTACTGTACTATCAAATACTAGAACTCATTCCATTTCTCTAAATGTACTTTTATACCCCTTAACTTCTCTTCATCCCTCCTCTACCCTTCCCTTCCCAGCCTCTGGTATCCACCCTTTTACTCTCTACCTCCATGAGATCCACCTTTTAGCCCTCACATATGAGTGAGAATGTGCAATATTTGTCTATTTGGCATTACTAAAAGCCCCTGTCTTACAATGGGAGAAACGCTTTGGCAGAAAAAGCACAGAACTGAGATTCAGGGGTCCTGGGTTCCTCCTACCCCAAACTTGGTTGTGTGATCTTGGGCAAATTGTATCGTTTCTGGAGATGGGGATTGGAGCAGCAGGGAGAAACTAAGTCAATGGCTTTTGCATGGGAATGGGAGGACAGCTGCACAGCATAATCACCTTGGGAGCTTTTTCCAAATTGAAAAGGAAGGTCTGTAAAAATTCTCCCTAGTCAAGCCCTTTATGACTCACTAGGGATGTAGAGGGAGTGAAGAGGGTCGGTAGCAGCAGGTAGGGGCATGGCTGTGGGGACCAGGAGGCCACAAGCTTCAGGGGAGGAGGCTCTTTCTTCTGTTTCTGTTGAGCAGCTGTGTCACCCAGGCAACATTCAGCACCAGCCATCTGAGAGATCACTGCAGTTGGGGGGTGGGGGTAGGGGAGCAAAAGAGCAAAGATGCTGCTATGAACCAGTTAGGTGCAGAAAAAAAGCCAATTCTTACTCTGTTTTCTGTTGCTGTGCTATGTTTTGCCTAGAGACATTGACCACGAGGGAAGAAAGGTGTCCTTTTCTCTTTCCTCTGGCTTTAGTGTCCATCAAGACAAATTATTTCTCTACTCTGGTTTTTTAATTTCCTAGAAAGAAAGGAAAACATGTCTCTGGAGTTAGATTATTGCTGTTCTTATCATTTCCCTGTGCTCTTCTAACTTTTTCCATTATCCATCTTCTTTCCCTCTTCAACAGAGTTGGCAGGACCTAAGTTGTAGGGACCCTCCACAGTAAACCAGATAAAAACCTATTGATAGCCTGTGGGATGCAAGAAAACCAGGAACAAATGCACCTGTTCCCACATTATTTTGAGGCCCTGTTATAAAAGTCTAGACTAGTTTGGGTTTAGCAGTTAGTTTTCCACTCAAAAAATATGAAATGCATTCTATGTTCTTGCAAGATATAACCCTGTTACTTCCACTAAAATAAGACTGTGTTAAATAACTTTACCATGTAGGAGGTTGGTAAAGAGGGGGGAAAACTTTTGGAACTTTTCACAATTATTTGATCTAAATGCAGGAAAGAATAACTGGAGAAATAGAGCTTGAAGATTATTTTGATTTTCATGAGCATTTACACTTTTACTTCTCTGAATGAGCAGAGATTTTATTCTTTGGCCTCCTCAATAAGAAGTTGGGCACGTAGTGGCTGCTTAGTGATATTTATATCCTGAAGTTTTATATTTAAATAAGAAATCTTTGATATACTCACTCAATTATGCCTCATATAATTGAAAACCCCCAAACCAGCAACTGGCAGCAACACTTGTACAGATTTGGACATCAAATTGTGATGGAAACCTGTGAGTGACTTCAAGCCCACTCTGAGCCAAGGTGTCAAGGCAACATGAATGGGTCCAGTGAGTGAATAAGTGAATGAGCCCTAACTTTGGATTCCGCAGAGTATTGACTTGAAAAACTGCATTACTAAATCCTTTATCAGGTTACAGCATCAGATAGTCCAAAAACGTGGAGGAGGGGTAATTAATCGAAGAACAGTCAATAGAGTACTGGGACTCCAAGCCCATGTCTATCCCTATGTGAACCATTTTTCTTGAGACTTTGATACTTCCTATAAAGTGGTAATACCTACATTAAGAATTGTCCTGAAGGTAAAATGATATGACCAATCTTCTGCCTTTAGCATTAAGGCTGGTCAATGAATGCTCAAGCAAGGTGACTATTATTACTCCTGTTGTTATTGCTGATATCGGTGCAGTTGACATTCTGTATTCCCATAGTTGTTACTAATCATGATAGACTTACTTCAGAGAACCGTAAGAGCTTCAGCTTCCCAGGGTGATACAGTTTTCATTCTGCATTTTCATCTACAAATGCAACCCCTCCACAGACTTCTAAAAACCAAATTCAAGTAAGTCGCAGATGCTGTGCTTTCCAGGAGGATAATGTCAAGTAGGTACTGACTTCTGAGTCTGTGTGAGTGCATTATGGCATGCCTAAACCCCTCATTTTTTATCATTTTATTTTACAGGGTGAGAGCTGAATGTAGGCTCCAACAGGAAGTTGGCATTGAAACCTGGTTGCTTGTTACTACTCAGAATGCCATCTACAAAAGGAAATTATGTAAAGAGCAATAAAGAACCCCTTCTGTTCTTGCAGAAGTCAGTGTTTCATAACTCTTTCTGTGATATCGTCTATATAAGTTGAACCTCTATAGTAAGTTTTTGTTTTTTTCTTTTTTGTTTGTTTTGTTTGGGTGTTTTGACTTAAGAAAAAGCTTGCCTTTTTGATTATTATCACCACATGCTGGATGGTTAGGGGTCGCTTGGTCATTAATAAAATTCAGTCACATCTGTCCTTAATTGGAATGAACACATGGTTGTTCTTATAAATTTCAAATACATTTAAGAGAAATGAATAAGAAATCTACTTCAAGTATCCATATTAGTTCTTCAAGGTGCCCTGGGAAAAATATTGTTATTGTAAAGTTCCTTTACAGAATGGCTTACAGAGCTTTTAGTTGCTTCACATTTAGCCTGGAGTAGACTTTTGCCCAAAGCTAGATTTGCATTTATGTCATAAATTAGAAATTTGCATTTATGTCATTGGGTTTAGGAACCTTATCTGAGTTGCCACAACCTTACTCATTACCCTCAAGAAGATGAAAAATTTAAAGGGAAGAAAGGAAGCGAAAAAAATGGAGGATAAGAGGCAGGACTAACCTGTATGCTCCCACTCGAAGGGACAGAGCAGAGTGTGGAGACCCATAATTGGAAGTTTTTCTCCAAGAACTACCACAGGAACATACCAAGAAAGCCAAAGAGAATCCACAGAACCTTTGGAGGAAGTGGTTTGCCACTGCAGGCTCTGTGGGACAGCTGAGGAACTGTGAGTCTGTTGGCTTTCTCAGTTGGGAGGCTTGTAGCCAGCTGGGAGTCTTGTAGCCTGGGGCAAGTTCTCAGCCCTGCTCACCAGCTGCCTGGAGATAAATTCAGGGGTTGTGGGGGACTGAGAGCAGCCTTTTGGGCTGCGGGCTCCGGTGGCGGCTGGGGAGGCATGGTGGGAGTGAGACCAGCCTCTTTTGGGCTGCAGGCTTTGTGGGGGCTGGGTGAGGCCTGTGGCTGCCTGCTTTCTCCCACTTCCCTAGTGACCTGTGTGAGCAGTAGAGGCAGCCATAATCCCCTGGGAACTTATATAACTCCGCTGGCCTAGGAATCACTCCCATCCCCCACAGCAGCCACAGCAAGCCCTGCCTGAGGAGAGTCTGAGCTCAGACATACCTATCCCTGCCTCCACCTGGTGGTCTTTCCCTGCCCACCCTGGTAGTCAAAACAAAGGTCATAATCTCTTGGGAGCTCTGTGGCTCTGCCCACTGCCTGAGAAACCTGAATACTTATCCAAAGGCAACCCCAGGACAAGCTTGTATCCTCACTATATGACTACCACTAAAGCACTCTTAAAAGTGCCACCTCCTGGCTGGAGGCCAACCAACACAAAACCAGTGCACTTAACAAAAATACAACAGAGGACCCTCATAGAGTCCACTTCACTCCCTAGCTACTTCCACCAGAGTAGGTGCTGGTATCCATGGCTGAGAGACCTAAACACAGACCACAGCACAGAACTCTTTGCAGACACATTCCAGTACTAGCCCAGAGCCTGGTAGCTCCGCTGGATGACTAGACCCAGAAGAGAAATGACAATCACAGCAGTTTTGCTCTCAGGAAGCCCCATCCCTAGGGGAAAAGAGAGAGCACCACATCAAGGGAGCACCCCTGGGACAAAAGAATCCAAACAGCAGCCCTTGAGTCCCAGCTCTTTCTTCTTGTGTCCAGAGTTGGTGGGTTCTTGGTCTCACTGACTTCAAGAATGAAGCCGCGGACACTTGAGGTGAGTGTTACAGTCCTTAAAGAAGGTGTGTCCAGAGTTTGTTCCTTCAGATGTTCAGATGTGTCTGGAGTTTCTTCCTTCTGGTGGGTTTTTGGTCTCACTGACTTCAGGAGTGAAGCTGCAGACCTTCACAGTGAGTGTTACAGCTCTTAAAGGTGGCGCATCTGGAGTTGCTCCTTCCTTCCATTCGGAGTTGTTCATCCCTCCTGGTGGGTTTGTGGTCTTGCTGGCTTCAGGAGTGAAACTACAGACCTTTGCAGTAAGTGTTACAGCTCATAAAGGTGGCACAGACCCAAAGAGTGAGCAGCAGCAAGATTTATTGCGAAGAGCAAAAAAACAAAGCTTCCACAGCGTGGAAGGGGACCTGAGTGGGTTGCTTCTGCTGGCTCAGGCAGCCTGCTTTTATTCCCTTATCTGACCCCACCCACATCCTGCTGATTGGCCCATTTTACAGGGAGCTGATTGGTCTGTTTTGACAGGGTGCTGATTGGTGCGTTTATGAACCTTGAGCTAGACACAGAGAGCTGATTGGTGCATTTACAATCCTTTAGCTAGACACAAAAGTTCTCCAAGTCCCCACTAGATTTGCTAGACACAGAGCACTGATTGGTGCATTTACAAACCTTGAGCTAGACACAGGGTGCTGATTGGTGCATTTACAAACCTTTAGCTAGACATAAAAGTTCTACAAGTCCCCAACCGACTCAGGAGCCCAGCTGGCTTCCCCTAGTGGATCCCGCACCAGGGCCATGGGCAGAACTGCCCACCAGTCCTGTGCCATGTGCCCACACTCCTCAGTCCTCGGGCGGTCAATGGGACCAGGCACTGCAGAGCAGGGGGCGACTCCTATCTGGGAGGCTTGGGCCATGCAGGAGCCCATGGAGGGGGAGGGAAGGCGGGGGAGATGGGGCTTGGGCATGGCGTACTGCAGGTCCTGAGCCCTGCCCCGCAGGGAGGTGGCTGAGGCCCGGCGAGAATTTGAGTGTGGGCAGGCCGGCAGTGCTAGGGGACCTGGTGCACCCTCTGCAGCTGCTGGCCTGGGTGCTAAGCCCCTCACTGCCTGGGGACAGCAGTGCTGGCTCACCGCTCCAAGTGCAGAGCCTGTGGAGCCTGCACCCACCCAGAACTCGTGCTGGCCTTCAAGGGTTTTGCGCAGCCCTGGTTCCCGCCCATGCCTCTCCCTCCACACCTCCCTGCAAGGAGAGGGAAATGGCTCTGGCCTCGGGCAGCCCGGAGAGGGGCTCCCACAGTGCAGTGGGGGGCTGAAGGGCTCCTCAAGTGTGGCCAGAGTGGACGCCGAGGCCAGGGAGGCGCCGAGAGCAAGCAAGGGCTGGTAGCACATTGTGACCTCTCACTCTGACATAGTCTACCCAAGTGAGAAGGAACCAGAAAAACAATTCTGGTAATATGACAAAATGAGGTTCTTTAACTCCAAAAGATCATACTAGCTCACCAGCAGTGGATCCAAACCAAGAGGAAATCTCTGAATTGCCGGAAAAAAATTCAGAAGGTTGATTATTAAGCTAACCAAGGAGGCACCAGAGAAAGGTGAAGTCCAACTTAAAGAAATTAAAAAAAAAAAAAAAAGATACAGGATATGAATGGAAAAATGTCTAGTGAAATAGATAGCATAAATGAAAAACACTCACAACTTCTGGAAACCAAGGACACACTTAGAGAAATGCAAAATGAACTGGAAAGTCTCAGCAATAGAATTGAATAAGTAGAAGAAAGAACTTCAGAGTTTGAAGACAAGGCTTTTGAATTAATCCAATCCAACAAAGACCAAAAATTTTTTTAAAAAAATAAAGCCTCCACGAAGTTTGGGATTATGTAAAATGACAAAACCTAAGCATAATTAATGTTCCTGAGGAAGAAGAGAAATGTAAAAGTTTGGAAAATATATTTGAGGGAATAATTGAGGAAAACTTCTCTGGCCTTGCTAGAGATCTAGACATTCAAATACAAGAAGCTCAAAGACCACCTAGGAAATTCATCACAAAAATATCATCACCTATGTACATAGTCATCAGGTTATCTAAAATCTAGATGAAGGAAAGAATCTTAAGAGCTATGAGGCAAAAACATCAGGCAACCTATAAAGGAAAACCTATCAGACTAACAGCAGATTTCTCAGCAGAAACCCTACAAGAGAGAAGGGACTGGGGCATCCTTAAGGGATTTAGCCTCCTTAAACAAAACTGTCAGCTATGAATTTTGTATCCAGCAAAACTAAGCTTCATAAATGAAGAACATATACAGCCTTTTTCAGGCAAACAAAAGCTGAGAAAATCTGCCACTATCAAGCCATCTCTGTAAGAACTGCTTAAAGGAGCTCTAAATCTTAAAACAAATCCTCAGAATACACCAAGATAGAGTCTCCTTAAAGCATAAATTTACTGGCCCTATAAAACAATAATACAATGAAAAAAAAGGTAGTCAGGCAACAGATAGCATGATGAGTAGAATAGTACCTCACATCTCAATGCTAATGTTGAATGTAAATGGCCTAAATGCTCCACTTAAAAGATACAGAATGGCAGAATGGATAAGAACTCAACAACCGAGTGTCTGCTGTCTTCAGGAGACTCACCTGACACATAAGGACTCACATAAACTTAAGGAAAATGGGTGGAAAAAGATACGCCATGCAAATGGACACCCAAACTAAGCAAGAGTAGCTATTCTTATATCAGACAAAACAAACTTTAAAGCAACAGCAGTTAAAAAAGACAAAGAGGGACATTATATAAAGATAAAAGGACTAGTCCAACAGGAAAATATCACAGTCCTAAATATATATGCAGCTAACACTGGAGCTCCCAATTTATAAAACAATTATTATTAGATCAAAGAAATGAGATAGACAGCAGCACAATAATATTGGGGGATCCCAATACTCCACTGATAGCACTAGACAGGTCAAGACAGAAAGTCAACAAAAAAATAATGGACTAAAACTATACCCTAGAACAAATGGACTTAACAGATATTTACAGAACATTCTACCCAAGAATTGGAGAATATACATTCTATTTATCAGCACATAAAATGTTCTCCAAGATAGACTATATGATAGGCCACAAAACAAATCCCAACAAATTTAAGAAAACTGAAATTATATCAAGTACTCTCTTAGACCACAGTGGAATAAATTGGAAATTAACTCCAAAAGGAACCCTCAAAACCATGCAAATACATGGAAATTAAATAACCTGCTCCTGAATGATCATTTGTTCAACAACGAAATCAATATGGAAATTTGAAAATT